GCTCGTGTTTTGGTCCTCTCTCGTGGTGTTCTTGCATATTCATCCGGGAGTTTGAAATGTTAACCTCAATTGGAATGCTCGATTATGCCGTTTTTTTGAAGTTATTAGACTTATAAGCCTTATTTCTGTCATGTGAAGATACCACGCCCAACTCCTTATATCACGCGGCACGAAGCGTGCTTCGTGCTGCGTGAGGCTTACTCGGTTTGCTTAACATTGTTTGGGGGCCAATGGGCATCCACTTTGTTTGGAAATGGCGCTTACAAACGCCAGATCTGAACTTCTTGACGATTAATTTTTTGCCTGGCCTTGACGCCGCCTGGCCTGCGAGTTGGAAGCATTTGAATGGCGTTACTATGGCGTCATGCATGCCTGAATGGTCTTGAAAACAGCCTGCACGAAAAAGTCTGTACATTTTTGCGGGCTTGTAGTTCAGAACCTGGACGGGTCTAGGCCTTAAGAAGGGCAGGGCTGTAAACTGCTGCGAATAACCTCCAAACCGGTTATTTCGGCTTAAACCCCCGTATGAATGTGCAGCATTCCCTTAAATTACTAGCTGCTTAGATCTAGCCGCGGTCAAATTCGCGCATGCAGCGCCATGTACTCCAACGAGCGCTCGGCTCGCCAGTAAAATCCCATGGCGGTGGCGGGTAACTAGCATGAGGCAGGATCGTATGGTACCTCTAACGATATTCAGCCTTGTATTGATACGTTGCAGCACAGGGTGTAGTTGCGCAAATAATTAGGCTACCAGGATATATCTAGTTGACTTATCTGATGGCACCGGTGCGCCTAGTACGTTGACAAGTCCAACGCTGGCACGAGAACATAGACTATTATCGTCAGTGTGGGATGGCCTGGCTTGTGCGACTACATCCTGTACAGTCTACTTACCCGTATGTGTATGTGGGCTATAATGATAACCATGGTACTACTGATGCTAGCGCAAAGCGCAGGAGCATTTTCATGGCGAGAATGTTCATCGTCGATACGCTTCCCCAGAGAAGAAAACAATTTTGTGCCAGTTAAGCTTTATATCATAGTGGTCGAATACAATGCACATATCGCTGTGCGCATCGCTCGACAATCGCTAGTTACTGCTCGCGAGATCGGAGCAATTGCGTGTTGTGACATTCTTGTGGTCTTTCGTGTTATTGGCCTAGGTCCGATCTTGTGGTGGTGGATGTGGAAAGAGGCCATTTGCACGGGAGACCACAAGAAAGCCGTATGCCAACACAGGGGCTCCGATCTGGCGAGTCCATCTCCGAGAGCTCCATCCGGAGCACCACAACCAGGAACCAAGAACGGGTGCCGCAGCTGCTGATCCCAGAAATCACATAAACACGTCACATTTAACGCCGTAGCCGTAGCAAACTAAAGAATGCACCGGACTCAGTTAAGCCTATTGTATATATTGTATATTGTATAAGCCCGTTTAACCGTCATGAGGGACGTCTGCTCTAGCTTGGGGACCTCGTCCACCCGTAAAGCGTGGCGGTAGATCAGCTCGGCCCCCTGGCGCGCCCCTCCAACACTTGGGAGGTCCCGGATGAGCTCTAGCGCGCAGCCCACTTCTTCGGAAAGCCTCTCCACAAACTATTCGTCCGAAGCGACAAACTTTTTGTGTTTAATCGGTCGTAAATGCACGGTGTTCTTGCAACAGATCTTGGTGCAACTGGCTATTTTCGCAATATTAGCGAACTTTCTTCAAATTGGCACTCATGTGTTGCTGCATTCATCATCCAAACTATGCGAACATTAGATAGATTTGTTTACACCTGGGACTGTTTGACAGCTATATTACACCAAATGCGCTCTGCATTTTTTTACGTACTGACTTCGTCTGAAGGTAACTAGAAACGAATTGAAATTTAATTGACCAGCTTTGGTCACTTACCATCACCGGCTAGGCCAAAACTGTATATTTGATCGCAGCATTTGCTTAAGCGATGCAGAAACCCTCCAAGCCCGTGCAAATGTTTGGGAGTTGTTCAGTTTTGTCCCCAAGTGTGTAGTTTGGAAACTTGTTAAATTTCCGCTTGTGCCTGCCCTAGCCTCTCCTCACAAGGGAGAGTCACGTCACGTCGCGTTATGTTCTTTCCAGATGACATCACCTGCCTCCCCCCCCCCCCCCCATTGTTGACATGAGCTCACCAGTGCTCCTCTGAGCCCCCTCAGTGCATTGGATTAATGAGGAAATGCGGAGACAAATAAATGCAGAACAATTGTACTAACTATGGGTATACTAGGTATCAGGCACCTTAATGTATCACAATTAGTATCATATTAAGTTTGTACCGGTATCCTTCCTGATGCCTAGAAAACAGTGGATTGGAACAGAAAACGAACAGGGTAGCATTTTACTCAAACCCTTTCCATGCCGTTAACTTTTTGGCCACGTTTCTGAAGGCGTCCCAAGTTGTGTTTGAGTTGCTCTGCGAACTGCTAAACAAAGTACCTAAATGTGAGGAAAGGTCCCAATTTGGGATGTGACATGGACAAAATGTACAGCGTAAATTGTAAGGGTAGGCTAGGTCTTAGGTAAATGGTGCCGATGACATCACCTGCCTGTCCGTCAGACTGCAAAAATGTGCGTTGAGCTGGCCATGTCTGGTTTAAAGTTATCCAGGCCGGTACCCAATACAAAATCAGTTCTGTCTTAGTTATATGGCCAATAAACTGAAGAAATTATGGTTGAGCGACCGTGTCAAAAATATCGCCGGCGCTGTTCATTTTGCAATGGTGCAGTGAACTCTTTATAGGCCGATCGAATTCAGGAGCTTGGCCAGAAGTTTAATCTTGGTTCCGCAAAGATATGAAGGGTCTCACAAACGTAGGTTTTAGATCATAAAGGGTCAACAACTTATGTCAACATATCCGAGCCATGCTTGTCTGGGAATGTTCAACATTCAATCAGAACCGATTAGAGATAAAAATTATGTAGTGTAATTTTGAATATACGTGCTCGGAAATCTTAGGAGCAAACACTTTTGACGCCAAGAGTTGCAGTGTTCATAAGCCACGCAGTGTCTGCCCCGCGGCTTACACCACGCCGCGGCTAACACTGGCCGAAATAGGGGCCCGCACTGGCCTGGAGGTCCTGATCGACGCAAGAAGCCCTCTGATTGAAATTTAAGGTTACGGCCTTACGGACGACGGGGAGTCCTTAATGTGACGTACGGCTGGTCCTTCGGGCCTTTCGGCCTTTTAATTGGACCTTTGATCTTTGATCCCGAGGGGCCCTTCGGTCCATCTTCGGACCTTCTCAAACAAAGCCCTTGACCGACTAGGGGCTACTAGCCGACACATGGCCCGATGTACTGTGGGCTCCTGACCAACACACGGGCTCAACCATTGTTTTAGAGACCCAGACCAACGCGTATCAGGGCCCCCGGCCTTGCCCCTGCTTGGGAATGGACTCCCAGGGTTCAGACTGTCAGGGAGCTAAAGGTTCGGCGTTTGTGGTCTCTGGCCGACACCCGCGTTGTCTCAGGGGTTCCTGAAATGGTGCAAGAGGATCTCTGATTTACATTTCACGTCACGACCTTACGGGCAAGAATCTTTATGTAACCTTTGGCCAGCCCTTTGGCCGCTTATGCTCTCCGACCGGGTCCTTGATCGATGCGATGGATGCATCATTCAGCGGTAGTGTAATGTAGGTGGTTATTCAAGCAAGATAACGGCTAGTTGTAAAAATGTTAATGCTTCTTTAAAACCGTATATTTTAGCGACGCAACCTTCACGTAGCAGAAAGCGCCAAATGCCCCGTGTTTTCAGTGTTATGGTTTGAAGCTCTAATGCATTGTTTTTAAAGAAATGAAACAAATATTTTGTGAAGCTTCGTGAACGTCATGTTAGGACGTCCAGATGCTTAGGTCACTGTTCATTGTTCATGGAATCATCCTGCATGTCTCACGAAGTCGCGCCGCGAAGACACGATACTTCCAGCAATCCTGTTTCAAAGTTATCAGCGTCTGAAACGCCCTGGGTTCGTCTGTCCGGAGACGGCCCTTTGTCGGGTTCGACGGCACCCGGCCAGGCGGCGCGGCCAGCGATGGAATGAATTGTCCAGATGAGTGGACTCCAAAGCGTGCGGCCGAAGTGGACGCAGAAATGGCGCCGGCACAAAAACTGGGAACATCACGCCGGTATCGTCCCGGCCAGTGTTATCCGGCTGGTCGCCGGCGCTGCCAGCTCCTTCCGGGCCAGCTCGTCACGCCTGGGGGGACAGCCGGTCCGCTGGCGGGGGGAGGCGCCGGCGGTAAATACAGAGCGCCAGCCGTTTATTGAATGTGCCCTGCCATAAACCGAGCCGTGCCCGGTGAGCATGGGTCTTGTTGTCTGGCTGGCTTAATGCGCTCGCTGTGCTTGGGTGCGGAAGTCCAGTTGTGATCAGCGGTCAGTACCACAGCACCAGACTTGCGGCCGCTGGCTGGTCGCGGCTCGGTTCACAGCCAGCATTAGACTGTACGGCCGCTGGCTGGCTGAGGCTCGGTTCACAGCCAGCATTAGACTGTGCGGCCACTGGCTGGCTGAGGCTCGGTTCACAGCCAGTATTAGACTGTACGGCCGCTGGCTGGCTGAGGCTCAATTCACAGCCAGCACTGGACCGTGCGGCCGCTGGCTGGCTGAGGCTCAATTCACAGCCAGCACTGGACTGTGCGGCCGCTGGTTGGCTGAGGCTCGGTTCACAGCCGGAAAGTAACTGTCAGATGGTGACGTCTTGTGACGTTCTGCCTTGGTTCAGCACCGCTGACTCCAAGCAGCTTTGCTTTAATGCATTTACTATACCGCATTGGACCATCCACACAGAATGTGACTTTTCCACTCCCAGCATCATATACCTAAAGCAGGAAGTGCGCGGGTTTAGTGGGTGTCTGTAATCCAACTACCCTGGCAGGTATACATGTGACGTTAGTTGTTGCTCATGCCGATTGTCTACCAATCTTGCATGGCCTAGGTGCGACAAAGCTGACATGTCGATTGCGGCTGTTCTTCAGGTATGGCCTTCCATCCCCGATTCGTGGGAACTGTGCAGAACGTGACCGTCCAGAAGGGACGGGAGGCGGTGCTATCCTGCGCCGTGGAGAACCTACGCACCTACAAGGTGAGAAGTTTGCCGCGCATCAGCTATCACGTCCGCTGTCTAATTCAAACTTCCGCTCCATTGCACTCGATTCCGACTCCGACTGACAGCGTATTGCCTGACGCTAAATATGATTCGAATCACCGCGACTCAATTTTGAGTCTACTCCGATTGATGCCCAAGATCTTATGACTGGCTTCTGGAATCGATTCCGATCGTGTGAATTCCGGTGATGACGGTTTGGAGAAACAGACTATGATATGGTCCGTAAAAATATGTTGTAGCGCATCGATTTTGACACCGAGATAATGGAGCGTGTGAACTTGTAGCATATAAAACAGTTGTTGGAATACAATCGTTTGCTATTATTTATATTCATACCAGAGCCCCACATTAAACAGGGTATGCCACCTTTTTTGTACTTGTCACTCATTGTTAGATCAGACGCTCGATTTGCTCGGTCGTACCAGTTTTTGGAATTCTTCTAAATAGCTCAGAATTTTGATTTGAAGTACCCACGTCTGCGGGAGAAATCTCATTTGACTCTGCTCACCACTATGAAAGTACTGATTTTTATTGCCTTGCTTTTTCCAACGTGTTCTGTTATGTTTACGACTCACTAATTTGTAAAAATGCATAATGCTAAGAAAAAATAAGTATGCATAAGCTGCTGCTAAACAATGAAACACTCCTTTTACAGATAGCGATGCGCTAACATGAGGCTATTATCCCACGACTTCAACAAAGCGTTTTACACGGCTCAAATCCCCCCCCCCCCCCCTCCCTATGGCGTTAACCACAGTGGCTCTTTTTAAAGTGCACTTGGGCTTTGGGGACGTGGTATGACATGGCCTGTAGAGACGCAATGGTTCAAACTTCAACCATTGCGCTTTTCGGTATTTCCCCTTTGCCACCGCTGTGCCAATGGCCGACGTTCATTTGTACTGACGTCATTCTTACCGGTACAGGCGCCACTTTTAAACCTGTAGACCCGCAAGGTGCGGGTTAAAACAGCTCAAAGTGGTACCTGGCTCGTAACAGCTGACAACGACCCTCAACAGATTTCGTTGTCGTCATGACGACGGCGGTTGCCTTGACAACGGCGGTCGCGACATCTGCAGTTGTCGCGGATTCGAGATTCGGGATATTCTTTGGGCCTACCGAGAAAGGGAGTAGTGTGGTACTATGTAGAAGCGTTGAAAGCGCAGTTTGAACACCATGATATTAAACCGTTTTTCTTCAGTATTCTTTCATGGTGCTGCAGTAGCACTACCCAATACTATTACTGGACGTAAATGGTACTGAGGTTTTCCTTGAGTATGTTTTTGAAATATGCCATAAAGGAAGGAAACTCCGTTTAATGATCTCTGTCAATAGAACTGCCTCAATTCCAAATCTGATTCAAATACATTCTTGAAGGATCCGATTCCACTTTAAACGGAGTGTTTGACATTTGTATGGGGATTTTAACTGAGATAGCCACATTGAAGTTCATTCGGTGCAGTGTACAGCCCTGCCCTTCTTAAAACCTAAACCCCTCTAGTTTCTGAGCTACACGCGCGAGAAGACGTGTAGACTATTTCGGGGAGACTATTTCACGGTCATCTGAGCACATATGGCGCCATGATAGCTCTATTAAAATTCTGTCATTAGCCATATGGCGATCAAGGCCTTACAAAATATGAGTGTTGAATTGTGCAAATCTGGCGTTCCTGGGCACGATTTACAGATACAACGCCTGTTGTATCTGGACTCGCATTGGCTTCAATAAATCTTGTGCGAGGTGTGATGACGTAATCAAATGATGACGTGGTGAGGAAAATATTTACTTAGCAGAGAAAATGTGTTGTCTAAAGCAGTCTTTTCCACTTAAAGGGAATGTTTTGCACCTAAAATAATTGACGCAATCGTCAGATATGATAGAATAAGTCGACTCGTGCGTATTGGTAAGCTCATGAGTGGAAAAACCGCTCTAGGCAGCACAATTTCTCTGGGTAGTAAATATGCTCTTCAATACCTCATTGCTTGATCCCGTCATTGTACCCTGCACGACATTCAGTGAGAGGTAATTGACGACCGTTATACCTGAAAATCGTACTAACGCACACCAGACATGAATGTTTCGACAATCATACTTTTCTCGGTCCTGTTTGACGCATGGCCAAAGCAATAACAGGATTTAAATGACGTTGCCATAACGTCATGCATGTCCGGGTGACCTTGGAATAGACCCCTCGGAGGAGTCTGCTCATCTTGGCTGGCGTGTAGCTCAAATACAAGAGGGGCTTAGGTTTTAAGTAGGCTGGGGCTTTGAGCTGCCACGCATGGCCTTCAAGACGGCTTGTCAGTTTAAACCCAGTACAAATATGGAACACTACATTTAAGAGCATACCGGTAGTTGTAAACAACCTTATTTCATAATGCCTGGTACTTCCTTTTAATGTCTTTGAATGCGGAACATTCCCTTTAACTCATTAACAACCGTGTTCATTTCAGGGTCAACTTTGACCCTAGGCGGGGTCAGGCACAAGTCTGTCTATATCGCATATGTTGTTGATCTGAATTTCAAGTAGGCGAAATAATATTCGAAGTCACTTAGCCTCCAAAACCCCAGACATCATCTTCATTGATAAGCTACACCTAAAGGTGAACACCAAATTTTGCATAATGACGAGCCAATTTATCGTTACAGTCCAAGTTTCTCAAAGCCAAGTGCATGATAGCCTATGCTAATATGCATTGTCCTGATACTGCACTTTATACGCTACGATACTAATACGATGCCTTGCAGCTTGGGTTTTATGGGCATTACCGCTGAGTCACTTCATTCGCCTTCTTTGCTCCGAGCAAGCATTGGTCTAAAAGTTTCACCGGATAATCAACTTTTTCGATTATTGAAGGCAAACTGCAATAAGGCCGCATAATATAACTTAATAATAGACTGCTGGCCATCTTGGTCATGTCAGAATGTGCTGTTTATGAACAGAGCGCACGTAACACACCTGATAACTTAAATTCATGTTTTTTGCTTTCTCGTAGAAGTCCCAGATTAGCGTTCTCATTCATAAAGCCGGATGGTGTTGTCATCCGGGGAACTCGCCTGGGGGTCACGATGGTGCGAGCGTGCGAGCCTCTTACTAATCCTATCTGGCCTCCTTATCTGCCTATGCCTCACTCCTGCTGCGCGGAACATTAATCCCACCGACGCCCCGGGGCAGCCTAAATCATGAAAATTGGGTTTACTTAGGAGTTATTTAGAGATTAGAGCAGGGAGGGACCGGTATCTATTCCCGGCGGTGTTGTAAACTAATTGAGCCGTGTGAAATGTGAGTGCTCTGGTTGCGGCTCGCGCGCCCGTCGGCCCAGAAATGATGGACACGTCGGAAGGCCGGCGGGGTCGAGCTGAAAAACGGCTGGCGGCCGCCACTAAAAAGCCGACACCGGGCCGCCGCCGACCGCGCAGCGCTCTAAGGAGGGACCGCGGCGCTGGAAAACACGCCGCCGAGCGGCACAGGACGACACGCGCCGACCTGCGGGCGTCTCGGTGGAAAATCCAGACGTCAGCTGGCACGCCATCGTACACAACCACTCTTTCTCTTTCTTCCCCTCACATTTTTTTTGCTCTCTCTCTCTCTCTCTCCTCTCTCTCCTCTCTCTCTCTCTTCCTCTCTCTCTCCTCTCTCTCTCCTCTCTCTCTTTCCTCTCTCCTCTTCTCTCTTCTCTCTCTCTCTCTCTCTCTCTCGTCCTCTCTCTCTCTCTCTCTCTCTCTCTCTCTCTCCTCTCTCTCTCTCTCTCTCTCTCTCTCTCTCTCTCTCTCTCTTTTCTCGCTCTCCATGGGATGGAGCGTGTCAGGTTTGCGTGTCTCTTCTTTTAGTCTGCCTTAGGATAAAAGTCGTTTTGATGACCCACCCACATGACCAGCAGCCTACCATGGATCTACCCACATAAACAGCAACGTTCCGCGGATCTACCCACATGCAAATCCTCACATGGACTCTGCTCATCTCCGCGCCTCATCATTCATCTGTGGCCGTACGCGTTATGACCGATTATTGTTTAACAATAATCAATCCCTGGCCGCGCGCCACAAATATGTTTCTGTCGCCGGCTTTCTCACGGTGGCTGAGAGTGTGGTGGTCGGGCTGCGGGCGTCCATTAGCTGTGGCCGGCGCCACGCGGCTGAGGTCTCTGCGACGCCGGCGGCCACCAGAGGGGCAGTGCAGGGACACGGCTGGTGGGTCAACGACATCCATTTCCGCTTAGCTGCTGCGGTCAACCCAGCTTATGAAAGTGTGTGCTATAAGCTGGAAGACGTTACGCACTTTTGGCGGACTAGATGAAACTATTCATACGCACCATATTGGCCCCGAATGAGCTCAAAGACATGGTCATTTCTGGAATGTTTCCCGCCAAAAGACAGCATAATTACATGGCACGTGGTTAATTTCCCAGATGGAATGAGTCAGCTTTAACAAAGGCACTTCTTAAACTAGATACAAAACTTTGAGCGTGTACTGCAGAAGTTTGTCGTTGGTTTACACGAAGCAGGCCCTTAAGTTAGAGAGCAGCCGTCGACCCCCACGTAAGCAGACGGAACCGATCTCAGCTCCAACTTCAAACAGGACCCTGTGTGGGTATCGAGCGCCGTTGAGACGCCGTTCAAAGGAGGTCCGAGCGGAAGACATGGCAGAGAAGCGGCGGACGAGTGAGCTGGGCGGACGACCCACCATCCGCTACCGCTGCAGCTTCGGCCACGTTATGCTGGACGTGTTCCGGTCGCGCGGCTGGAAAGAGGTGGGGCCCGAGGACCCAGACTGGGATATCAACTGGTGCGATGTAAGTCAGCTGAAGGAATACTACGACCACACCTTTTTGCAGGACCACCAGCGCATCTGCCATTTTCGCAACCACTATGAGCTGAGCCGCAAAAATATGCTGATGAAGAACATACGCCGACTGAAGCGTCAGATGGAGAAGAGCGGTACCAAGGAGGAGGCGGAGCGCTGCGTGATCTGCCCGAC